ACTGGTGTTGCTGTGGGGTCAATTTCGATTGAGGAGGTTCCTGGCATGGCTCTAGACGTATTTTGCACACCAGGGTGTTGATCCAACAACTCCTTAAAGTTCACATCTATTTTATGCACTTGCTGGCCCAGGTCGAGGGCTTGACAGTGTTTGCCGGACAGTATTGGTGTCTGCTTGTTATCTATAACATCAGGATAGAAGTTTACATCTAACTCCTTGTTTTTTAAATCGTACTGGAAGGGTGACATAACCCTTTGGTTTGATATGGTGTTGGCTATGGGAAACCAATGTCTTCTTAATAGGGCATTTGGTGCTATTTTTCTGAGCTGAGTGGTGTTAATCACCCTTGCATAGACACCAGAGTCAAGCTGACAAAACAGGGTGCTCTTGCCAAATACTTCAAGGAATTCACACCATTCATCCTTTTCACTCACGTTCTGATTGTCGTTGATCCCATTTATTTCGAGACTTGCTACATGTAGTTGTAAGATGTAAGTCCCTATTAGGACCTTGCTCATCACTGGAATATTCTTCTCCTGAATGGTCCATTTTATCCAACACGTTAACAATGCTTTTCCGACTTCTGCACACTTGGGAAAGTGTCTAATTTTCCTGCACTTATTACACGACTCATTCTTGGCTGGACACTTTTCTCGTGGCTTGTGTGCATCGTATCCATACCTGTCACATTTCTGAGCCAGCTCATTGTTACCTTTCGGTTTCATGAAACTTTCCTGACTTCAGTTCACGGGTCTTCACCTGACATCACCTTGTGGCCTCAAACATTCGACCGATGCTGGCGGTTGTTTCGAGTGTAAGGTTTTTGCTTTTTTCCAGGAAACGTTGTCGTACTCGTTCATCCAGCGACTTACATGCTATGACGTTCCGAATAAACTTATTTGTCTCGGTCATGTCTTGCCCTCAGGCTACGAGTTTGTGGTAATTGACGAAGGAATCAAACGTTTCCCCTTGCAGTTGGCGTCTTCGATCGAATTCTTTTTAGCTTCGAGGTGTGCTTTGAATTTTTCGGCGACTCCTTCAAGTATGTCCCTTTCACGAATGTCATGTCTGTTTTCCCCCGATCCAACTTGAACGGTGTTCCACTGAAAAGTGAGGTAAATTTCTCGGCCCTCGTCACCGACAAAGACATATTTTCTATTTTTCCCGTGAATTTGCTGAGCGGTCCTCCGAATGCAAATTGGCAATATTGATAAAATCTCCCACTCTTTACTCAGGTCCGAAGCGGCCCAGTTCCTCGTTGGCCAGTTGTACGACGAGTTAGCGTATCCTTCTACCATATCTGTTTTGCTGAGTTTCGTTCAGCTTCGCTCGGAATCCTACTATTTTGACACCATGATACATATGAACACGCAACCGCCATGTTGGATTTAAACAACATTTATTTAATACGGCACCTACAAGTGGTCAGCGGTAAATAACAATTACCATTTTGTAGCCTGATTTTTTTTATTCTTACTCACAAGTGTGTCAATGCTCTTAAACCATCAAACAAACCCTCTTGTAACTCTGTTAGGTCGTTGTCGTTAAGTTGTCTGTAGAGGAGAAGAGTTAAATAAGTGTTACAATTACATTATTGGCAATTTGCTGGAAAAGACCTCATTCGTAGGAACTAACAACTATAGACTTCGAAAGTAATTTATTAAGCTTTAACGAGACCCTTGCTTTAATTTTCCGACTCAAAACAGTTCCGTACTAGGTTTGGCTTTCGAGGTACCTGATCTTGTTAACAAGTACTTGTCTGTTGTTACATTTAGGTTTTATTTAATTGATTGCGGGCGTTCTTATCGGTCTGTGTGCTACGCAGATATTTAAGGGTTGAAGGATGTGATCGATGAAAAGGAATATGCACTATCCGGATAATGATGTTTTGTGACACATGTCAATAGTTGATATACGAAGATGACTTTCCACTTACAGCCACTTCAGCTTTATTAACCGGGAGAATGCATTGCTTGTCAAATGCCTGATCTTGTTGCCGTATAACCAACTGCAAGTTAGGTAAACTTTGTTTTAACGTGTTTTTCCGTGGCAAAGTATAAATCTTGCTCGCGTTTGACTGAGGTATTGGTGTGAATAGAAGTGCGGAGTGCAAAGCCTGTTCCGAGAAGGAACACTTGAAATCTCCTAATCATGCTGGCAAATAAAAACAAGCTATAAAAGGAATAGAAAATGGAATTT